CTTAATGTCCGTGGTGATTTGTGTATTTAAGATGCGCCATGTTAATAATTAAGGTGCTTAATTTGTTTGTGGAAGTCATCCCCGCACTTGAACCCTTCCCTATATATATATATATATATATATATATATATATATATATATATATATATATATATATATATATATATATATATATATATATATATATATATATATAATACGGTTCAAATGCGGATGATGTGTTCAGGTGCGAACGTGGGGTGAGATGAGAGCTATTGATCTTGTCAAGAATAACGTTCAGGATTAACAAAGATTAAAAAAAATGCGGTGTCAATTTGGTCTTTTTGCATCTAGGTCAAATTTAAGGTGCATGATTTTTCTTCAAAGGTGCGTGGTTTTTGTGTTTAAGGTGCGTGGTTTTTGTCATGTGTGCTTAAGGTGCGTTAGTTGTTGAAACTTAAGTGCGTCGGTCTAAAGCTTTAGGTGCGTGGTTTGTGTGCTTAAGGTGCGTTAGTTGTTGAAACTTATGGTGCGTCGGCCTAAAGCTTTAGGTGCGTGGTTTTCCTTCTTAAGGTACGTTGTTATTTTTTATTTTTTTTTTCATTCTTAAGGTGCGTTATTTTCCTTCTTAATGTGTGTCAGTCTAAAACTTAAGGTGCGTGAGTTTGTTTCTTAAGGTGCGTTGTTTTCATTTTTTAAGGTGCACCATTTTTACTATTTTTTTCACTCAACGGTATAGTGGTGTTTTTCAGTTTTGGTCCCCAAGTTCAAAATAATCTGATCTAGGTTTTGTTGTTTTAAATTATCTACTTCAAAAGAAAAAAAAAATATGATAGCAATATAATAACAAATAGTAGAGTTGTTATCTTTTGAGTAAACCTGAAGAAGATGGATGCATTAATTGAGGACGCACGTTTTTTTTTAAGATTTGATCAACGGCTCAAATCTAACCCCATCTTTCACCTGGGAGCATCTCCGCAACACCAGAACTCATATATATATATATATATATATATATATATATATATATATATATATATATATATATATATATGTGTGTGTGTGTGTGTGTGTGTGTGTGTGTGTGTGTGTGTGTGTGTGTGTGTGTGTGTGTGTGTGTGCGCGCGCGCTTAGGATTAATGATAACACACCCCCATAACACACACCCTATGAGAAAACTAAGAACAAATCTCAGCTTTACATCTGTAAAAATTCAACGAATCTGATCAAATTTAAAAAAAAAAAAAAAGATGCGGTGACATTTTCGTAATTATCATCAACTTCACCATGCAAACTTTAACACTTAAATATGCAATCTTTAACAACTAAATATGCAAACTTGGTAAATTTTATAAAATCAATGAAAAAATTAAATTTTCAATCTAAACCAAAAATGTTAAATCATAAGTAGTAAAAAGTGAACTACAAAAAAAATAAATAAAACCAAAAACTAAGTCATAAACTCTAAAATCGAAATCCTAAATGCAATGCACTTTCGCATTTTTGCAAATGCAATCTTTTAATACTAAATACGCAAAATGTTAATACTAAATCTGCAAACCTTGAAAAGTCTAAAAATTGCAAATTTTGGTGTTCAAGTTTACATAGTAAAGTTGGTGATAATTACAAAAACGTCACCACATTTTATTTTAAATATGATGATCTGGTGCTTTCAATTTTTCCAGATGTAAGATTGAGATTGATTTTTAATTTTCTCCTAAGGACTTGTTCTCATACATACATACATACATGTATGTATGTATGTATGAATAAATTAGATTATATATATATATATATATATATATATATATATATATATATATAATTTATTCATCTACTTCACTAACAACCTAGTTGGTTCACATAATAAATTTTAACAGAATAGGAATTCTATTCCATATGAATATAATTGGTAAGGAATAGAATATAAATTATATTCTATTATTTGGTTCACTGAAAGCATATATAGTTTAGAAATGAGATTTTATTGTTTGGTTCGTTTAAGATATAAAAATAAAATAAGTTCGTCAAAAGACACAAATACACAACAAACAAACAAAAAAAAATCGAGTCAGTAGCTTTCAAAAAAAAAAAGAAAACACATTAAGAATAAAACAAAATATTGTAAGTATATAAGAAATCAAGTACACTGTACAAGTTATTACATTTAACATATGAGAATCACTTCCTATGTGAGAACTTGTGGACAAATCAAAACTATTGATCAGCAAGATCTGATGGATGAGAAATCAAGTAAAAAATGAGCGGAGTTATTTTAATAAATATTACAAATTTTTATAATGAGCGGGGTTATTTTCATAAATATTACAATTTTTTATAATGAGCGGGGTTATTTTCATAAATATTACGAAATTTTGTTTATTTTCAACCGTTAGATCTACTAGATCAATGGTTTAGATTTGTCACACGTTTTCACCTGATTATGGACACACACACACACACACACACACACACACACACACACACACACACACACACACACACACACACACACACACACATATATATATATATATATATATATAAGTGAGTTTAAATGAGAACAACCCCTCGTGTAAAAAAAACACCCATTAGAGTTTATCAGTTGTTGAAGATTTTAGTAAAAATACGCGACCAATTTTATAATGAATATGCTACATCTACTCCCAAACTCTAATATCAACTTTTACTCACACCCTCTTACTATTGATGCAAACAATTTTGGTAGGGCCCACATTTTGAAAAGAGTCATACTACATGTACTCCCAAATCTTACTTCCTCAATTTGATTCTCTAATGTAGCGAGCTCGAGCTCTAATAAGCTAGTTTTTTTTTCATGTGGGTCCCAATAAGTGTCTACATCAAAGTTTTGTGTTTGGGAGTAAAAGTTAGGAGTAAAAAATGATAGTACACATAACATTTTCCTTTTGAATTGAAAATGCTTTATCATAACTTGTCATCTGAGGATTAAAAAGTGATGGAGTAGGAACTAAGAGTATGTATAGTAAAACGTACTGTAATTTATAATTATTATACAATTTTAAGTTTGTAATGTTTATAAAATTGGCTCGATCTTTTTCGTTTTTTAGCAACCATAACCGCTGTTTATCCAAATGGATGTATGATATTAGTCATCATTTTTTACCTGATAGTTTGTTCTCAAATGAATTCTCTCATATATATATTTTGATGAACTCCCAAACATTGTCAATTTTATAATTATTATAAACTTTGAAGTTTATACTATTTATAAAACAACATCCTGCTATTTTTCTCCTTATTTTTTTTAGCAATCTCCAATCACTAATCTACCCAAATGAATATATCAGATCAATCATCATTTTTTTTTTTACTTCTAACTTTTACTCACACACACAAAATCTTGATGTAAAGATTTATAGTGAGACCCACATAAAAAAGTAGTTTATTAATACCTGCCACATCAGGAAATAAAATTTAGATAGTAAAATTTGAAAATTCATATAGTAGAACTATGTAAAACACGCATTTCTCTCTCTCTCTCAAATGGATGACTACTATTATACATTTAAAATTAACAATAATATCACCATCATAAAAAGTGTGTAATAATTGAATAAATTAAACACATTGATGTAACTACTAACTACTATATTATTATTATTAAATTAAATTAAGAACTTAATATATTATTAATACATTAACACTCAATGAATTGTAATGATTACAGTTAGAAAAACACAAAAGTTTTATGTAATTTTCAATCATCCCACCACTAGAATTTGATTCTGTGACCTTTCTTCAAAAATTACAGAGATGCAGTTTGTTATTATGTTAATTAATTATACATATATATATATATATATATATATATATATATATATAGGGACGGAGCCAGAAAATATGTTGAGGGGGGGGGGGGGGGGGGGGGCAAAGAAGTAAGGATGGATTCAATGGCGGATTCAGAAATTCTTTTTTGTGAGGGAAAAAAATTAAAATAAAAGAGAAAGTTTAAAAAAAATGAAATACTTAAAAAGTATAACAATAAATATTGTTGGATATAGCGAAAAATAAAACATATTAAAACTTTATAAAAATATTTATAACAAAATATGAAACATAATTAATTTGATAAAATAATTCGAATATAACACATTATAAATTACACATTCCATTATTAATATAAAGAAAGTTATAATGGAAGTTATATATATCATGCCAAAATTTAATTGTGTTAATAAAAAAAGTGAAGAAGACTGTGACATTGTCAATGCAAAGACTCGAACCTAGGCCATTCTAAAACTCATACACATTAGCTACCACATTGTCTATCACAGCTTTTGTTTATATAATTTGTTTTATAATACTTATATGAATAATGTACTATATATACATATTATATACAATATAGGGTAGGGGTGGGGTGGGGTGAGGGGGGGCAGCTGACCCCCCTGCCCCCCTCTGGCTCCGTCTATGTATATATATATATATATATATTCATCTGCCTTAACTTTACCTATAATTTATTTGCTATTTATTAATTAGATCAAATTTAAGTTTTCTTTTTTTCAATGATTTACTTTAAAATTTTTATACAACTATAAATAGAGCTTTTGTATTTAATAATACTTGTAATATAATATTAAATATAAAAAAAATTATAGTTAATATTAATTTAAATATTTTAAAAATTAAATGATAAAAAAATTTAAACAAAATTTTGTTAATGAATCAAGCATATAAAATGTAACTCAATAATTTGGAATAGTTGATAATCAAAGTATTAATATGTGCACCATGATTTAATAATTTGCACCATGTAAGCAGACGTGATTTGGGCTAAATCTGAATTAGTGATATTATATATGACAAAAACATATCAATTTATCTGAAGGATAACATAAAAATATATTCTCTGTTTAACCAAAATGATAAATAAAATAAAATATATTTACGTGTTTTTCTTTCTTACGTGGATATTCATAAAACTGCGTGCGCGAGGATCGGGATGACCCACCTTTGTTACTATAAATAGGTGTCCCATTTCGTGAATCTCAAAGTGTTCACCATACGACTGTCTTTTCGTACGCATTTCGTTTTCTCGTAACGTTACGCTAACAGAGGAAACTTTCTCTATGGATCCTTACCAGGTATCGCCGCTGTATTATCATCTGCGTTTGTTCATCGTGATGTTGATTTTTTTTTTTTTTTTTTTTCTGATTTTTGTGTTGTTCTGATTCAGTTAGTCAAAAGGCATTTGTTTATTTTTAATTTTTTTTTTTAAAAAAATATATTGAATCTGGTGAATTCCGATGCAGCACCGTCCGTCGAGCGCCTTCAATTCACCTTTCTGGACAACTAATTCTGGTGCTCCAGTTTGGAACAATAACTCATCCTTGACCGTCGGAACCAGAGGTATTAATTAATTAATTAATATATTGTACGGAGTACTATTTTTGCATCGCTATACTCTTCAGATTTTTGGTAGGTTTATCATGCGATGAATTCATGTCCAATAGAGCTTTGTTTCAGAATTTCAATGTTATGATTTCTTGTTATTATTATTATTTTTTAATTTTTTGTTCAGTGTTCCATGTATCACGTGTCATTTGGAATCCGAATAGATTTTGGTTAGGTAGTTGGTGTTAGGTTGCTAGCTTTCTTCTTCTTTGGATTAGGTTTGAATGTGATAATAGATGATACTTCAATTAGTTGGTATCTGTCCAGCTTTGTTTTCATTTGTTTGTTTGTTGTAAAAATGGGAAATTTAACTGTAAATACACAATGATTCTGGTAAGACTTGGACAAAATTTTGAACTCATTTCATTGCTTTACTCGATTAGGTTTTTTTGAAACAGTGATGCTGTGTTTGGATGGGTAGAAAGTGGGAGGAAAGAAAATTGGAGGAAGGAGTCTTACGTTTGAACCGAAAATGGGAGGCTGAGATTTACGAGTGAGAAATAGAGGGTGTGCATGTATTGAGAGGGAGAAATGAGTTTAAGTTGATGTACTGTGTTGTGATATATTGATATTTGTCAGGATATTAGGAGGAAAGGACTTTTCTATCCCCAATTTCTTTCTCCTTTATTTTATTTCTTATCCAAACAACAGGAACTATCCTACCCCATTTTGCTTCTGTTTTGTCCCCCTGTTTTCAACACATGACACATCCCAACACACTATAAATGAACTTAAACTTTTGATGCCACTAATAAGGAAGAAATTCAATGTGTTACAATTTATTTACTTGCTTTTGGCTTATTCTTTTTATTTTTTCCACATTACTTATGGGTAGTGGCTCTTTTGCCACCCATTAGACCCCCACCCTCTCATGATTTCTTACATTGTATCCAAGGCAAGAAAGAGAAACATTGCCTAATCTTCTTTTTCAGATATACCTGGCATGAAAAGTGCCATATCAATGGATTTTCATTTTCTTGAAAACCATGAATAGTACCTACTTCAATAGTATATTGCAATTGTGAAAATTACCTAGTAAATGAAACTGACGATCATCATTAGTAGTTATGCCAATGTTTTAGTTATGATTTTTCCTTCCATTTTCCAAAATTTCATTCTAAATACAAGTTTTGATCTTTCACCCCTGTCAAGCCAAGAATTTAACTGTGGTACTTTAACCTATCAATTTGTTTAGCATTTGCTTTTTCTGCTGGTTTAGAGGTTCTCAAGATGCTGGCAACTGGCAAGCTGATGCTAGTTCGTCAAATTCATCTATGTATTTGATTTTATTTTTTCACTGACTAATGAAATTCTGATGTTAACAGGGCCAATTCTCATTGAGGATTATCACTTGGTGGAGAAACTTGCTAATTTTGATCGTGAACGGATTCCAGAACGTGTTGTGCATGCCAGGGGTGCAAGTGCCAAGGGTTATTTTGAGGTCACTCATGATATTTCTCATCTCACCTGTGCTGATTTCCTTAGAGCTCCCGGGGTTCAGACACCTGTTATTGTTCGATTTTCCACAGTTATCCATGAAAGAGGAAGCCCAGAAACCCTCAGGGACCCTAGGGGCTTTGCTGTAAAGTTCTATACAAGAGAGGTATGCTGTAATTCAGTAGAAAAGTTTGAAGGCTTTTCTTTCATCTTTATTTATCTTGTTTCTCATGTTTAGCATTATTTTTGTAAATTCGTTGTTTTAGTGTATGTTAATGCTATTTGTTTTGTTGTGCAGGGTAACTTTGATTTGGTGGGTAACAATTTCCCTGTTTTCTTTATCCGTGATGGAATGAAGTTTCCTGACATGGTTCATGCCCTGAAACCGAATCCCAAGTCTCATATCCAGGAGAATTGGAGGATCCTTGATTTCTTCTCCCACCATCCAGAGAGTTTGCATATGTTCTCATTTTTATTTGATGATCTGGGTGTCCCACAAGATTACAGACACATGGAAGGTTCTGGTGTTAACACCTACACACTGATCAGCAAGGCTGGGAAGGTACATTATGTGAAGTTCCACTGGAAGCCAACTTGTGGAGTGAAGTGTTTGTTAGAGGAAGATTGTATTAAGGTTGGAGGTGCCAATCACAGCCATGCAACCAAGGATCTCTATGATTCTATTGCTGCTGGAAACTATCCTGAATGGAAGCTTTTTATTCAAACAATTGATCCTGACCATGAGGATAGGTTTGACTTTGATCCACTAGACGTTACCAAGACCTGGCCCGAGGACATCCTGCCCCTGCAGCCTGTGGGTCGCTTGGTTTTGAATAAGAATATTGACAACTTCTTTGCAGAGAATGAGCAGCTTGCATTTTGCCCAGCCATTGTGGTTCCTGGGGTCTATTATTCAGATGATAAGCTCCTCCAAACCCGAGTGTTCTCTTATGCTGATACTCAGCGACATCGTCTTGGTCCAAACTATCTACAGCTTCCTGTTAACGCTCCCGAGTGTGCTCATCACAACAATCACCATGATGGTTTTATGAATTTCATGCATAGAGACGAAGAGGTGCATTTCTTATTCATTTATGAGACACTTATTTCTCTGCATTCAGACATCTCATGTCCTAGCATTCTTACTACAGGTTAACTATTTCCCATCAAGGTATGATCCTTGTCGTCATGCTGAGCAGTACCCCATCCCTCCACGTATCTTGACAGGAAAGCGTGACAGGGTAGGTTGTTGCTTATGGTTGGATCCTTGGGTTATTTAAGAACTTGAACCTTCAAGCATGCTTTTATTTCGATATTGGTCACTCTCATGCAAGCCACTTGTATATTTAGCTCACCTATTTATGTAACTATAACGTGCAAAACATATAAGATTTATGTTGTACACATGGTATTTATTTATTTATTTATTTATTTATATTCAGTGCATCATTGAGAAGGAGAACAACTTCAAACAACCTGGTGAGAGATACAGGTCCTGGTCACCAGACAGGTAACATTTGCCCCTTGGCTTCTTTTCAGGCTTTATTCACTATATATTGATTAGATGAAATTAATTGGGTGATTCTATCATTTATCCAGGCAAGAAAGGTTTGTGTGTCGATGGGTTGATGCTTTGTCTGATCCCCGAGTCACCCACGAAATTCGCAGTATTTGGATTTCATACTGGACTCAGGTATGATCTTTCTTGCCACCATAACTACGCAATATGTGCCCACATAGCTCGTTATTTACTGTGTTTATGTGTTACTTGAACGCGATGCAGGCCGACAAGTCTCTTGGACAGAAGCTAGCTTCACGACTCAATGTGCGGCCAACAATGTGAAAGGTAACGTGCAGGGTAAAACGTTTGGTGAGGTCTTGATTGTGTATGGAGCACTGGGAAGCTTTTAATAATGTGCTCCGATTTACAGTAGCTGATTAGTTAATAAATTGTAATCATGTGTTGTACTGTTGTATTTTGTACCAAACAACTTTTAAGTTCTTTTGTTTTTTTTTTTTTTTTGAAGAAAAAACTTTTTAAGTTTTAATACTCCATTATTCAACTTTCTTCATCCTTATCGCCTGCGTTAATTAACTACTTTTCACTCTCTGTTCGTTGGTAGGAATATATCTAATTAAAGCACAGAATATGAATTTCCACAAGTGTATGCGCAAGGACAGTAGCTTTTTGAAGCCCCATTTTTTTTTTTTTTTATATTATAGATGACCTGTAAACTCTTTTGTCCAATTGTTACACAGTGGATCATGAGTATGGACCATGGTTCAAAACGATGTCTTTTATTTTAATGAAAGGAAATGGTTGTTGCGATAAATCAAATCTTTAGATTTCTATAGTGCATTGTCGTTATGTCTCCAAGCTCTAGTATAGTTGTTTTCTTTTCTTTTTGACGTCATTGTTGCAAGCCTAAAGCTTCATTAAGGTGATAATATTGTTATTTTGTAGGCAATGTTTCACTCTTTGCTAAAATGTATTCGAAAAACAAAGATAATGTTTTGCCATGTGAGTGTAAAACATGAACAATATGAATCCATTGTCACACATTGAATGCAACATAGACCATAATTGAATTTTCCATCTATCATTATTAATGGGAAAGTTTTTAAATGAAATTATTTTTCTACCTAGTCCACGTTGCTATATAGACCATGTTCTATAATAAAATTTGCCCTCTTTTATCTTTTCTTTCACACAAGTGTGGCCCAACCGACAATGGAAACAAACGATGTATTAGTTTAGAGTAGGATAGACATTGATCATTTGTGGATATCTTTCTTTAACTAAGAAAGGTCAACCACTTCGTGGTACTTTAAAAGCAATTGCAATGGTTGAGTTGGATTATATTGCAAGTTAAAGAAAAAATAAACAAACAAACAATAAGAGAGAGTGATCACCAGCTAAAGTGTCTAAGAAGCGTTATGTATGCCTTCTACTAAGCCACTACTAAAAAAGCGTTATGTGTGCCTCCCACTAGGCCACTACTAAAAAAAAAATCAGGTTTAAAAAAAAAAAAAAATCTCCACTAAAAATGCCCAAGTTAAAACCAACCAGGCAACTCTAAACCCTCTCCCGTATATACAAGAACAAGTGGAGTTTAGAGTTTTGAACGCATTTGGTTCAAATTATATTACATTATACTTAATAATTTGACTCATTATTTAGTTTTCAAAGACATGAACTCACTTAGGTTATGAGATTCTCAAGAATAATTTCTAATTTATTTTCGTTGCATCCCCAAAAAAATCTCATTCCTTCGAATTTCAAATAAATAATTTAATATTAGTGTAGTTGTTACATACCACAAGTAAAACACTAGTTTATTTTTATTTAAATTCATAATAATATAATTTCTTCAATTCTATACATCATATCTCGACACCCGGATAAAACACTAGCTAGTTTAAACAATTAAATTAACCAAAAGTGTGGTAGCTTTTATTGCATATATATATATATATATATATATATATATATATATATATATATATAATATTCTAGGTGCAGATGATGAGGAAGTGGGATGTAAGTTGGAAAATCCATTTAATTTGTATTTGGGACGGGGGTTCTACTTTCTATGTAAGAGTCCATTAGAAATCCCACGTTGGAGGCCTACGTATGGATGCATTATCGTTGACTGATGATGAGTAATGGCGCAATATATAATATATATAGCTTAGCATATCAAAACCACATTAAAGCTAAGCGATCGATCTAGCTGTCGTCTTTAATTTGATATGCTTAATTAATTGTATAGGTTTAATTTTAATTTGTATAGAAAATGGATTGGAGGGTTATGAAAATCTCCAACAACGTGATGCCTGATCCCCTCCACCCACCCATTATGCTTGGAGATTGGTGAGAGATAAAATGTAGAATGTGTCCCAATTAACCTATAAGACTCCAAATAATTCTGGTTGCTTAGTAAAGTAAAATTTATGAACTTATTTTGAGTTGGTTGACCAATTAAGCTGTGCTATGAGATAAATCAAGTATATTATATTATGACTCTTTTTATTGTATAGGTGGCAAATTGAATCAGTTGTTGATTGGTCCAGGTAAGATTAGAAATAGATGTAAATAGTGAACGATTTTTTTTATTTATTTATTTTTAGTTTAATGTTGAGGATTAAACTGAACAGCTTGACATATATTTAACTTTCGTCTTCAGTTGTAATGTCATTGATTAAGACAGAAAATAATGTTTAAGATTCAGATTGGTATGATTATTTAGCACCTAATCACACAATTATTGTTTAATGGATTCCAAATATAGGTTAATTGCATAGATTTTCAGATCATATATAATCTCTAAAAATAGAGAATCTTAAAATGTTATTAATTAATAATTATTAAGTTGAATTCAATAATTAATAGAAACTTGAACCAATATACTATATTATTAACGTGTTGACAAATTTGCCAAGGATTTTATGGTCCAATGTCATTGACAGGATAATTGGACAAGGTACTGGATCCGACTTGGTGCACTTGGTCTAACCCATTAATGCAATAATGACAGTCAAAGCAATCAATACGGACAGTGGCTAGCAATCAAGATCGAGTAAAGTAGGAGGAGGTGGAACAGTTCTTAGAGTCCAACGCATTACCGCCTCATCACAGAGTAGTTACTGAGGGACACTCTGATTCTTGTACTAAGACACTTAGCGATACAATCACTACTGGAAATTCTGAAATTTCCGACCACCTGAAAGTGATCTTAAATTAAGTCGAAAGCCTTGTTCCGACCACTTTTGGTATCCGGAAAAACCCTTGTTGCTATTTCCGACCATTTTTTACTTTCAACTTGATTTAAGATCACTTTCAGGTGGTCGGAAATTTAATAATTTCCAGTAGTGAATTGTCTCAATTCACTTGTACAAATATATTCCGATAACATATTTACCATAAGGCACCAAGTTGAACTTTTACATGGGAGATTGTGAGTTCAAGCCTCAGTGAGGTGTTATTGATTTTTTGTGCTTCAGATTCTTTTTGTTTTAAGAAATCATTTCTTTTTCAAAAATAGCGGCGTAGCAAAAGCAACAATCGTTATGCTATGGACCCGTGTCCAGCATGCATTGTGGACACAGTAACAGTGCCGTTAGTGGCACCGTTATCTTCCAGTTTTTTTTTTTTTTTTTTTTTTTTTTTTTTTTTTTTTTTTTTTTTTAAATTTCAGACCGCTTCGTTATAGGAGCATATGTTCATAATTGCATCACTATATGTTCATAATTGTAAGTTCATAATGTCAGAGCTCTGTGTTCATAATTCCATAATTCCATAACTGTACATTCATAATTCCATAACTGTACATTCATACTTTCATAACTGTACATTCATAATTCCATAACTGTACATTCATAATTCAATAATTGTAAATTCATAATTTTCGAAGCTCTATGTTCACAATTTTAGAGCTCTATGTTCACAATTTTAGAGCTCTATGTTCATAATTTTATCACTATATGTTCATAATTGTAAGTTCATAATGTCAGAGCTCTGTGTTCATAATTCCATAACTGTACATTCATACTTCCATAATTGTATATTCATAATTCAATAACTGTAAATTCATAATTTTCGAAACTCTATGTTCATAATTTTATCACTATATGTTCATAATTGTAAGTTCATAATGTCAGAGCTCTGTGTTCATAATTCCATAATTTCATAACTGTACATTCATAATTCCACAAACGAATAACGTCGTTAACAGCGAAACAAAATCAATTTTTTTTTTTAAAACTAGAATGTCACGTTTAATTTCCTTAAAAACCACGTCTTTTTAGACTCGTGTCCACAATGCATTGTAGACACGAGTCCACAACATAATTTGCGCAAAAACAATTAGGTTAACATGGATCCGCCAATCCGCTTCAATTTAATTCGCATCCACCAAAAGTACATAGATACATATCGGCTTAGAGCATCTCCAACGGACGCCAAATCTCAACTCTAAAACACCATCGCAGCAAATTTCTGTCTCCAATGTGGGTTTGCATCACGCTATAACACCAAAGAAAATGGCGTTGATGAACAGTGCAGCGCTATATTGGCGCAGCACTGTTCATCTGCGCCAAATGAAAATGGAGGATGAAAATGACATTTTTGCCCTTGCTTCTTTTTATAATTCCAAATGTATCTTTATTTGTTTTATATGTAATCTTTTATTTCGTTAAATACTTATATTTAAACTTTGTATTATTAAATAAAAATTATACCATTTTAAAGATTTCATTGAGACGATCGAAACAAGACTAATATTGAATATATATTAATTAAATTTTCAAATACGTTAAATATAACTAGAACATAATATTGTGAAATTAATTAAATTTTCAAAAATATTGTTAAATTCGATTTTTTAAAATAATTAATGTTATAAAAAAATTAATATTAATAAAAATTGTTATTTACATTACAAATTATATTTTATATTAAACTAATTAAGTTCGAACTAAATTATATTAAACTAACTAAATTCGAACTAATAATTGAAAAATAAAATTATTTTAGTGTAAAAGTTTGGTGTTTTGGTGTAAATGAGTTGGAGATGAATACAATTTGGTGTGAGAATATGCTGAGAATATTCTTTTTAATGTGACATTTGCTGAAAAAATTTGATATTTTAGAGTTGAATAGGTTGGAGATGCTCTTAGTGAAAATCCACCAATAACGTATTGGATGTGAATTTAGCTTTCTACAATCTGCTACCAAAACGATTATACACTCTTTTATTCTTTTTTTTTTTTTTTTCACACTTAATTTATGCATATATTAAAGTAAGGAAAAATTGTAATTTATATCCTTTCGTATAATATGTCAATTATATATCAATGTCGTCCCTGAATTATTAATTATATAAATGTTGTCCCTCAATTTTCAAAATGATACATATATTGTCCCTCCCGTACCGTATG